TGACACTGTCCTTCCTTCTGGAGGGTGGCTACTTTTGTTCCTCATGGTCCCTGTGTGTGTTGTAAAGTAGCCAACACTCTAAGCTCACCCCTGTGATGGACTACAATCTCAATACAAATTAGTAAACTAAACATGAGAATGTAGTCCATCACAGGAGCGAACTTGGAGTTGTGGCTACTTTATAACACATGGGGAACAAATGTAGTCACCCTCCAGAAGGAAGGACAGTGTCGGCAACAATTCAGAGATGATTTAAGGATCTACAGTGTGATATATGAGTGATATATGAATAATCTGAATTTCTACATAAATAAGATACATGTTTGTTAGTAGTTAAGGTATTATAATGCATTTAAGATTTAACTCCTGAGTTCAGTGTCACTTTTATAGTGTCTTGATAAGAGGTTGGTTTTGGCTAGGACCAACTATCTGGGCACAGGGGTTATCCCTAAATAAGCTAGATTTTTGTTAATAGCTTGAATGCATTTTTAAGATTTAACCCTTGAGTTTAGTGTCACTCTAGGAAATGAAGGGGCACACAAAAGACCTTATAGAATTAGATAGAATGGTAAGTAATAAAGGTGAGGTGGTGGGGAGGGAGAAATGGAGGAATATGAGGCAAAAGGGGAAAGAGGGACAAGCACCTGCAGGGGAGCCTTTGAACATTTGTTTATGCAACACTAAAAAACTATTAATAAACAACAAAAAACTGTTTGTAAACAAAATAAAAATTGGAAAAAAAGTTTAAATTATGGTTTAAACAAAATATAGGTCTGCTTTGGGTTACATTTTTTTTTTTTTTGTAAGGTTGATTCAACTGACATACAGGTTGACGGTCACTGATTTGCTCTGTGGCTGAATGTTTGTGTTTGTTTTTTTTGTATCTCTGAATCACACTTCTAAGCATTGATTACAACCTGTATACATTTTTTGTGGGTGTACGTAGCATGCCTTAGATACAAGACACTTACCATTATGCAATGCTGTAGGTAGCCTACACCAGTGTGTAGGTGTCTGTAGTCATAACTGAACAATAATGAGCTATAAGTAGGTACAGTGCTCAGCATAAATTAGTACACCCCTTTGAACAATAAGATTCTTTTTTTTTTTATTCTTTATTGTACAACAGGTAGAAAATACATTCCATTGGACAAAATAGGGCAGCCGCCCAACACATATCAGTACAATAAACTGGGACAGCACATGCATGCCCTCATATAGGGTGAGACACAATCAATGTACAGAAATGAAGCAATACTCCCAGCAGGAGTAGGTGTCTCTACATGAAACCCGTAACAGGTATCTCACGATCATTGTATCATATACATGCATAACATCAGTAGTAACATCCACCACATCGTGGTACTCAAATCCCTGAAAAGTATATGCAACATTGTACGTATTCGTGGTGTAGGAGTGCATCGCCGGGCCCATTACTGTAGCTTGGATGGAAACATCCATGTCTAGCCTATCAAGAGCTTAGAACTTGGTGGCCCTGGAGAAAGGAAGCTGTAGACAGGGAACTCCGAGAGCGGAGAAAGAGGGAAAAGTAAAGACAAAGACCCAAAGATAGGAGCAGTCGTGAAGAACAATAAGATTCTAATCAGTAGCTCAGTGAACACAAGAACAATTTCCAAAATGTGGACATAACTGAGTTTTATAGAACATTTTGTTTAGCTCATTACATGAAAGGAAGGTTAATAATATAACTTAGATTACAGAATCTTCAGTTGTACTTAAATTAGGGGAAGCAAAAATGAATACATCTAGTATTTTGTGTGACCTCCATGATTTGTAAGGACAGCACCAAGTCTTCTAGGCATGGAATGAACAAGTTGGCGACATATTGCAACATCAATCTTTTTCCATTCTTCAAGAACGACCTCTTTTAGAGCCTGGATGCTGGATGGAGAGTGATGCTCAACTTGTCTCTTCAGAACTCCCCATACGTGTTCGATTGGGTTCAGATCAGGAGACATACTTGGCCACTGAATCACTTTCACCCTGTTCTCCAGAAATGCAACAGTGGCCTTAGATGTATGTTTGGATCGTTGTCATGTTGGGAAAGTGCAGGATGACCAAGGGCACAGAGTGATGGTAGCATCTTCTCTTTCAATATAGAGCAGTACATCTGTGAATGCATGATACCATCAATGAAATACAGCTCCCCGATACCAGCAGCACTCATGCAGCCCCACAGAAGGACACTGCCACCACCATGTTTCACTGTAGGCACCATACATATTTCTTTGTACTCCTCACCTTTGAGATGCCATACAGTTTTGAAGCCATCAGTTCCAAAAACATTGATCTTGGTCTCATCACTCCAGAGTACAGAGTGCCAGTAGTCTTCATTTTCAGCATGGGCCCTGGCAAATTGTAGTCAGGCTTTTTTGTGTATGGGCTTTAGGAGAGACTTCCTTTGTGGACGACACCCATGCATGCCATTCCTCTGCAGTATACGCCGTATTGTGTCACGGGAAACAATCACCCCACTTTGGCTTTCTACTTCTTTAGCTAACTGCAGTGAACTTGCATGGCAAATTCTTCAACCGTTCTCATCAGAAGACGCTCCTGTCGAGGTGTTAAAGTGACATTAAACCCTCAGATATTTAACATAAAACAATAATGTAATGTGTGCCTAAGCCCTCGTTCACACCTGAACGTTTTGTAGCGCGTTCTACGCTCGGCGAACGCTCTACAAAACGCTCAAAAATATAAATCCCATTGTATTCAATGGTCTCATTCCCACCTTGGCGTATTTCCGCGTCCCTAACGCGCTACAAAACGGCCCACGCCTGAAAAGGTACAGGTACTACTTTGGGCCTTTTTGTTGTGCGTCTCCATTGGGATACAGCCAAGTAGCATTCGGAAACGCGCGACGGTCGCACAACTTTTTTACCGCGAAACGCGGTAAAAAACGCGCGACGGTCGCGCATATGCAATACGCCTAGGTGTGAACGAGGGCTTACTGTAATCCATGGTAGTTTCCCTTCTCTTTGCTGCTCTTCCTTTTAAATCCGTATATCTTCTTATGCTTGGGGAGAACTTCTGTTTTGCAGCAGACTGCCTTGTCTCAGGAATGGATACATGGTATCTGTGTGTAGGTTCCCAACCTGAGCCAGCACTACAGGAAGAGGCACTCAGCTGCAAAGGGAAGTTCTCCCCAAGCATGAGAAGACATGAGGATTTAAAAGGAAGAGCAGCAAAGAGAAGGGAAACAACCATGGATTACAGTATGGCGCACATTACAGTATTGGTTTGTTAAAAAAATCTGAGGGTTTAATGTCACTTTAACGTCCGTGGACAGCCTGGACATCTCTGTGAGATGGTTGCAGTTCCATCTTTGTTACATTTTTGTATCACTTTTGCTACAGTATTCTGACTGATAAGGAAAGCTTTGCTGATCTTCTTGTATCCTTCAGCTTTCTTGTGTAAAAGAAATGATTTTCTTTCTCAGGCCTTGTGACATTTCTCTTCCATTTGGTGCCATTGCTGAATAGCATGTGTGGAGCCGTGAACAGGGCCAACCAATCGGAAGCCGATTAATCGATGATTGAAAAAGTTGACAACTTTTTCAATAATCGATTATGTCGATTAGTTGTTGCAGCCCTAGTTTAATGTCACTTTAAGTAACGCCCTTTTATAATCAACTGCTGCACACCTGTTTCATGAATCATTATACTGACCTGTAGCTGAATTCTTGTTAATTAGGATCTTGTGGGCTAAAATTTAGCTTTGCTCCCATGACTCTCATTGCTTTTTTTTTTTTTTTTGGAACATGGTCTTGAGTGAATTTGTTAGGAAAAATACTTTTTGTGTGTGTGCACATTAACAAATCTTGGTTGCAATCAAGGGCCCCCCATTTGTGGGAGTATTTTGTAGTTTAGTGTCCCATAGAAAATGTTGATTCTGAAAGGGAAGTAAAGGTTTTCTTACAAATCTGTTGGGGTGTACTCATTTATGCTGGGTGCTGTACATGCTACATTTAGTGAGTTGCCCTTTAACTTGAATGAAATAATGAAACCTGTTACTATCAGGGGCGTCCCGAGGCCGGGTGTCACACGCAGCTGAGCTCGGGTGATACCCTGCAGTGACGTCATTGCGCATGCGTGTGATGTCACCACTAGTTAGTTCTTGCATAATCTTACATTTACATAACCTATAAGTTTGGGGGAAGGTAAGATAGATTTTGGGGCGGGGTTGGTTTAACATCTTCAATTATCTGACAACCTCTGTGCTCCTTAATGTAACAATACATGGATGGATGGATGGATGGAGGGTTGGCATCAGGTTCTATTACCAACCAGTGCGCATACATGTGAAATTACGTCCTTTTCAGGTAGTGGAAGCCTGTGTGTGGGTACACATCTATGTATTTAGTGAGATGCCAAAGGGTCCAGATGTGCAGGAAATGGGGCATCTGATTCTGGCTATGGATCAGTTCCTACATGGTAGCCACAAAATTAACCAAAGCAAGCCACTCCTGCATAGTAAGAGTTTTAGTGGATTTCCAATGAGGTATTAGGGAAAATTCACCCTGGCCTCTGGTGGGGAGGAGGGGCTAAGTCTGGATTGTTCTTTCTCACATTTTATTCATTTATAATGTAAAGTGCTGCACAAACTGTTGGCGCTGTATAATTCCTGTATAATAATAATTGTAACTAAGAACATAAAGACACACTGGAACCCGGACAGTTGGATCAACAATAAAATGTCTTTCCGGAAGCAATAACTCCAGAACTCAGGAAGATGTCTAGGAAGAACCGTTCTGAAAGGTTCCTGAATTGTACTGTCCATAGACATCAATCTTCCAGTCCATACACCTCTCCACATGGAGGTCATAGCATTGCACTGGACAAGGCGGCTCTGCCAGGCTGCATGCACCGTGTAAACATTGCTCAAAGCTCACACTTCCTCACACAGCTCCTGACATATGTACCCACAAGCCCCCCTCCTGCTTGTCTCTGACTGGACAAAGCATGAGCGGGAGGCGGGACTAGGTGCTGGTGCAGCCAATGAATGACGTGCTAGCTTCTGAGAGGAAGGGAGGGCCACACGTCACTGGAATTCCCCTTCTCCGGACTGTTCGGTACTTTCCCTGGACAGAAACGTGAAGGGACAGACGGTAGACGACGAGCCTTCCATATAGGTGAGAGCTCTGCCATATAGATCTATCTATGTATTTATAATGTACTGTGTTTACCGTATGTATATGTTCTAGGTACACTGTATGCCTGCCTGGCCTCTTACTGTATGTGTATATGGACTATGTGTACTGTATGTCTGTGCATATGCCCTATGTACACTGTATGCCTGGCCTCTTACTGTATGTCTGTGTATATGGACTATGTGTACTGTATGTCTGTGTATATGTTTCATATGTACACAGTATGCCTGGCCTCTCACTGTATATTTGTGTATATGGAGTATGTGTACTGTATGTCTGTGTATATGCTTTATATGTACACTGTGTATATGGACTATGTGTACTGTATGTCTGTGTATATGCTTCATATGTACACTGTATATATGTGTATATGGACTATGTGCACTGTATGTCTGTGTATATGCTTCATATGTATGTATGTATGTGTATTTATTACTTTATGTGCACTGTAATATGCTTCATGTGCATGAGCAAGACAGACAGCCGCTAACGACGCTGGAACGCACTGTACTGTAACTTGTGTAAACAAACCCTAAATACCGTCCTAAAACATTGCATTCTTTGATTCAGGCATTATCTGCGTTCAGGTGCGGGAGGGGCGTGGCAGTGCATTGAAGTTAATGTCACCATATCCATGCCCCCCACCCGTATTGCAATAACCTTCACCTGAACGCGTGGCACATTTTTACAGATCGCACTAGACCGGAACACAGGCACTAATGTGCCACGCATTCGGGTGATCGCCCCCTGAACGCAGGCAACCGACCGGAGTGCAATACAGTGCGTTCCAGAGCCTGACCGCTCTGAAACGCACTGTTTGTGGTGTGAACCAGCCCTAAAGCCTAATTCACACCATCCTCAGTGCGTTCTGGCGCTATTGTGGACGGAACGCACTGGATCGCATTGCGGCGGGCTCAGTTTGTTGTGGGGTGGGAGGGGGTGTGGTGATGTGTTGAAGTGAATGGCACCGCAGCCATGCCCTCCGGCCGCAATGCGATCGGCCACACGTGAACGCAAGGCACATCAGTGCCTGCGATCCGGTCCAGTCAGAAAAAATGCTGCTAGCACTATTTTTTTCTGACCCGACCGCAGGCTTTGCTGTGCCTTTCGTTTCCGTGCGGCAGATCGCATTGCGGCCGGAGGGCCGCAACTCACTCTATCAGTCCTGACCTTCGCTTGTCCTTTTGGCTGCGATTTGGCTGCTGTTTGGGTACCACACCTGGATGCTGTCTTACATTATTATCCTTGGCGTATTATCCTTGGCGTCACTTTGTTTCCTGTTTTGGTACCTCATTTTAGTAGATTGTCGTGTTGGTTCTGACCTTAGCCTGTTGCATATTCTATTCATCCACTTAAGCCTAGTGTTCACTAGTGGGGTGAGTGTGGGTGCCACAGTCTGTGAGGACCAAGTAGCAAACCCATCCCCACCCTCTGGGTAAGAGCAGCTGTTGCTTTAGTCTTTGCCCTGCCATGCACCCCTGGTGTACACAATAGTATGGGGATATAATCTATACCACTTTCACATTCAAAAGCTCAACATTGATTTTAGGAAAGTATAGATTTATGTACAAAATAGCTATAGAACAGGTTGTATTTGTCTTCCCTGTTTTGCAACAGTATGTTCCACGTCTTCCTTCCTGGTGACATTCTTCACGTGATGGATCCTGACTAATGAACTGGAAATACAGAGTCTAAAGCTGTTTTTTGGGAGTGGAAAAATCGAACATTTCCCTCATCCACGCTAAACAGTATGAATGGGGGAATCTTCCCTGCTGTGCTGTTGTATTTTGATGGCGACTAGGGCAGCAGTCTCTGTTCAGCTGACAATTACTGGGCCAGCTACATCAACAAAACTCGATAAAAGAATCGACTTTTGTTGAAATGAGGGGTGCCAATAGGGCCACATACAGCTTGAATTCCAAAATTCAAGCAGTTTATGGCCAGCTTAAAAATCTCAGCCTTAACGTGTATTTACACTTTTGCAGCCAAAATGTAAAGCAGGCCTTTGCAAGCTTTTCCCTCAATTTCGGTAACAGGAAACTCGGTCTGTCCTAATAAAAATGGTGTAGGGTGCTGAGTGTGACTGGGTGCATGGTGTAGTGTGATGGGGTGGATGGTGTAGTGTGCAGTGTGGCCTGTTGCATAGTGTGGGGTGCTAAGTGTGACTGGGTGCATGGCGTGAGGTGCTAAGTGTGACTGGGTGCATGGTGTAGTGTGCTGAGTGTGACTGGGTGCATGGTGTAGGGTGCTGAGTGTGACTGGGTGCATGGTGTAGTGTGATGGGGTGGATGGTGTAGTGTGCAGTGTGGCCTGTTGCATAGTGTGGGGTGCTAAGTGTGACTGGGTGCATGGCGTGAGGTGCTAAGTGTGACTGGGTGCATGGTGTAGTGTGCTGAGTGTGACTGGGTGCATGGTGTAGTGTGCTGAGTGTGACTGGGTGCATGGTGTAGTGTGCTGAGTGTGACTGGGTGCATGGTGTAGGGTGCTGAGTGTGACTGGATACATGGTATCAGGACAAGATATGTAGTGACATAATTTGCCCTTAGTGAGCCCTGGCGTCTGTTCCACATTACCTGGACTCTTCACCTTCATGAAGCCCTCCCAGAATCCAGGACATTGTCAGAACGTTCTGTTGTCTAACTGGCTCTTGTATTTCCAGGTTCCTGTGTTTTCAAATCATTGCAACTCACTCTATCAGTCCTGACCTTGGCTTGTCCTTTTGGCTGCGATTTGGCTGCTGTTTGGGTACCACACCTGGATGCTGTCTTACATTATTATCCTTGGCGTATTATCCTTGGCGTCACTTTGTTTCCTGTTTTGGTACCTCATTTTAGTAGATTGTCGTGTTGGTTCTGACCTTAGCCTGTTGCATATTCTATTCATCCACTTAAGCCTAGTGTTCACTAGTGGGGTGAGTGTGGGTGCCACAGTCTGTGAGGACCAAGTAGCAAACCCATCCCCACCCTCTGGGTAAGAGCAGCTGTTGCTTTAGTCTTTGCCCTGCCATGCCTGTGATTGTTGAAGGTTGTAAATAAGCTGTTCTTGCCTGACCTTCTTGTTCATCACTCTATTTCCTGCTGCTTGCTGGCAGAGGTTTGGTACTGCCACTATTAGACTGTGTTTCTATGGCATTAGTGGAAATATACGCTCCCCGGCCACTTTATTAGGTACACCTTGCTACGGTAGTACCAGGTTGGACCCCCTTTTGCCTTCAGAACTGCCTTAATTCTTTGTGGCGTAGATTCAACAAGGTGTTGGAAATATTGCTCCGAGATTTTGGTCTATAATGACATGATAGCATTACGCAGTTGCTGCAGATTTGTTGGCTGCACATCCGTAATGCAAACCTCCCGTTCCACCACATCCCAAAGATGCTCTATTGGATTGAGCTTTGGTGACTGTGGAGGCCATTGGAGTACATTGAACTCATGACATCGATGTCATGTTCAAGAAACCAGTTTGAGATGATGTGAGCTTTGTGACATGGTGCATTATCCTGCTGGAAGTAGCCATCAGAAGATGGGTATACTGTACTCATAAAGGGATGGACATGGTCAGCAACAATACTCAGGTGGGCCGTGGCGTGTAAACGATGCTCAATTGGTACTAAGGGGCCCAAAGTGTGCCAAGAAAATACCCCCACACTTTTACACCACCAGCCTGAAACGTTGATACAAGACAGGACGGATCCATGCTTTCATGTTCTTTATGGCAAATTCTGACCCTACCATCTGAATGTTGCAGCTGAAATCGAGACTCATCAGACCAGGCAACATTTTTCTAGTCTTCTATTGTCCAATTCTAGCCTCCGTTTCCTGTTCTTAGCCAGGAGTGGCACCCGGTGTGATCTTCTGCTGCTGTAGCCCATAGCGTTCAGAGATGGTATTCTGCATACCTTGGATGTAAGAGTGGTTATTGGCGTTACTGTTGCCTTTCTATCATCTCAAACCAGTCTGCCCATTCTCCTCTGACCTCTGACATCAACAAGGCATTTTCGTCCACGCAACTGCCGCTCACTGGATATTTTCTCTTTTTCTGACTATTCTCTGTAAGTCATAGAGATGTTTGTGTGTGAAAATCCCATTAGACCAGCAGTTTTTTAAATATTCAGACCAGCCCGTCTGGCACCAACCACTATGCCAAGTTCAAAGTCACTTAAATCCCCTTTCTTCCCCATTCTGATGCCCGGTTTAAACTTCAGCAAGTCGTCTTCACCACGTCTAGATGCCTAAATGCATTAAGTTGCTACCATGTGATTGGCTGATTAGCAATTTGTGTTACCGAGCAAGTGGCCAGTGAGTGTATATGATCACTGCTGCATATATCGCATTTATGGGGCAGTCTCAAAAAAGGACAGGAGCTACCACAGGACAAGGATCTTCTGCAGCCAGAAGGCCACGGCTATCACTGTATGTATTGTGGACTACTATAGTAATTTTCAGGATTCCTGGCGGCCTTCCAGATATCATATATGCATTCCTACATTGAGCAAAGCTGCACCAATGTAAGTCTGCAAAAACCTTACTTCCTGGAGTTCCTCTTCCACCTTTCTGTACTCTGTAGACACAAGTAGTTGTAGCTGGTGTAAGACTTTTATAATTCTGCCTCAGTCCCTCCTAAGTATAATGTTTTAGGAGATTGTATACATCATACATAGCAGTAACTAATTGGTCACGGGTAAAAGCCAACCAACGTTCTTGTATCTGCTAATGCCATCGTGGGGTCAGTTATACATACTGAACTAGCATTCTGTAATGTGTCTTACATGAGGGATTTTTTAGGGTAATTACAGTACTAAGATGTGATATAAGAAGCCTTCAGTCAAAATGGAAGTAGGTTTAAATATTTCTTTGCATTACTTCTGAAGAGCCCCAGGGACTCTACACGCTCTTGCTTGTTATAGGTTCAGCAGTACCCTATACAGATTTACTCTTTAGAAGTGGATTGTTTTTTCTTTTCCTCCCACCACCTGAAAGTGTACTGCAGATTTGTCTTGCATGAGTAAAAAACTAGCGTCTGGAGGGCCTCTGAATTTGGCAGGAAGTAATGTATTTTGTATGTATCTTGCATCAATACTCGTAGCCACTTGTTTTATGAGACTTTCTGGATCCTTCCCCAACTTCGTTTAACAATGGTGACATATAGCAGACGTGCATTTGCATCAGGGCCTAGAGTGGTCTGTTATTTTTCTGTACAGTACAGAGTCTTCTTTCACTGTTCATTAACCCCTTAGTGAGACAGTTTCATAAAATGTTTTTGTTCTTGGGGACCGGAACAATTTTGCCATTTATTTTTGCTATGTGTTTGTTTAACCATAATTTCCATCTTCCTCGTTCATTGCACTTACACATAATATATATATATATATATATATAT